CCCCCTTCCGTCGAGCATTTACTTACCCCCCAAATCCCAATGACGGGCACCTGGATCTGTGGAAGCAATTCTTCTGGGGAAGGTCCTGCGGGCGCCCGAAGGACCTTGAGGAAAACTTCCTCCGCCCCATCGTCCAGCCCGGGCGTGAGCAGCACATCCACCAGTTCGTCGTCGACCGCAGTTTCGTTCCCGTACACCTGGGATGCCCGGAAGAACACGAGGCAGGCGGGCAAAAGGATGGGAGAGAGAAGGGTTAGGAAGGGCCATAGGATCCCAGGATCCTTTAAGCGGGGGGTGCGTGGTGCTGAGGTGGAGTCGATGGCCGCACAGGTCTCGTTCCCAATGTGGGGACGAAGCGGGAAAAATACACACGCCCCCCCCCCAAAAGGCCGCCAACTTCCGTCACAAACATAAGTATCTTGTCCTGCCCGTGTCATGGATCCGCAAGCTCCTCCGACGGAAATGCGTCGTGCCACCGTGCCTCCATACGGGAAGCTTAAAGCCCCTCCGCTTGTCCCTACCTGAGCCAAGACCGAGCGGACGTTCTCCTCCGTCCGAAACCGCTGGAAGAGTCCCGGGCCAAAAATGTCCCCAAACAAAACGACGCGGACAAAAATCCACAGCGGGCGCAGGATCCAGGGCAATTCCTCCTCCCGGAAACTCGTCAGCCCCCCTGCACAGTTAAAAAGCACACAGCCCTTCACTGTCTCCGCTCCTCGGGCCACCGCCACCATCAGGGTCAAGAGCCCGCCAATGCTGTTCCCGCCCACGGTCCATCCGTGCGTGGTGGAGGCTGTGCCGCGCGCTTCCATTTCCTGTCCCACCGTGTGGTCGGATAAAGCCCGAGCACGTTCAGATAAAGCCCGAGCACGTTCAGATAAAACCCGAGCACATAAGCCCAGCTCTGACAAGGCAGGTTCTCCTGCCTGTGGGGGGCGCCCCGCCTGCGGAGATGCCACATTCTACGCAGACTTGACCAAACATGCTTGTCAAATAGTTAGACTTCAACGAATACTCATGTCCCCATATCCGAGCCAGGATTGTATGTATATATATAGAGAGAGAGAAATCCGAGCAGGTGTATCTATATATAGAGAGAGAAACTTCAACAAAGACGTTCATCCACACATCCGAGCCCGTGTCGAACTTTACCTGCATGAAGTCCACCAAGAGGTCTCGCCACAGCTCCAGTTCGTAGTCGACCCCTGCCTTGACTTTATCGCTCCCGCCGAAGCCTAGGAGGTCCACGGCAAACACCCGGTACCCTGTGTGAAGGGGAGGAGGGGGGAAGGCGGAGTCCCCTTGATTACGTTGGCAATTGGAAAGCGTGGATTTGATTCGAATGACCGGGCTGGCGGTCCGCACGCGGGGTTCACAGTCTTGGAAGGACCATCCTCCCCAAGGACGTGCTCCCCACTCCATTCCCTCTTGTGTACGGGGCATTCGAACGCATGTTCCATCCCATCCAGGACCACACCCTCGCGCGCCAGGACCGAAGATCGCCGGTGCTCGGGCTTTTTCTCCCCATCCCTTTCAACCTCCGTTTCAACCGAATCGAGGACGTACCCAACGGCGGCAGGTCTCTGAATTGGTTCCGGAAATGGCCGACGGACGCGCCAAAACCTAAGAATAAGAGGGGAAACAAGAATGGGCGCCATGCCCATCATGCTTGGCGGTGAGAATTCGGTTCTACATATTGTTTGGGAGCTGGGATTTTATATCTTATGAATTATTTCACGACCATTTGGAGGCCACAGGATCGCTTCTTCGACAGGTACCCACCGTGAATCAAAAGGATTGGGGGAGCCTAAGGTCGGGCAGTGCCAGGCGCAGTTGAAAAACACAATGCAGTGAGGGGAAATGAGGTGTGAGAAGCTTGGGCTGAGAGACAGGAATGCCCCTACGAAAAGGCCACTAAAACACAGCGTTCATAGAGCCATCCCATACTTTCCATTCCCATCCGACCCCCTCCTCCTACCTCCGCATCGCCCTCCACTCGGTAGTTTATTCGGTGACCTCTCCATGTCCATGCTTCGAAGGTACGCCGAGGCGGGCGGCGGGAGGGCTGGGGAGGGGGAGAGGGAGGGGCCTCCACTGTGCCAGCTCGAGAAGGTCCTCCGCGGGCGAATGGAAGAAAGGGATCACACCACGCCGAGCTGGGTCGAAGCTCGAGAAAGAAAGGTGCTCTTTGGATATTGGATGCGGGCCCGGTACTCGATGGGCACCAAGACTGCGGCCGGGCGAAATAAAAGGCCCGTGACATGGTCAGGATGTTGACTAGGGTCAGAAAGAAAAGGCGGTGCTCTCCCGGCCATCGCCTTTTTCTTATCCCGTCCGCAGTGGACCGCATGGAATTCCAGCGCACTTCCTCTGTGGCTGGTATTGCGTTGCGAAAGAGGTTCGATTATCATACTGTCCTGTTTCCCCCCCACGTAGGGGAGGCTTCGTACTCTTACGTCCTTCGCTCAACTTCAACCGTTACGGATTAGCCTACCCCTTTGAAAGCTCCGCATGCCGTTGGATAAAATCACGTGTCCCGGACGAAAATATAATCCACATACATAGTGTACACGTATTCTTGGCCTGCTGTTGTCATGGCTTAAATTCTGAGCCTTGAGGTCAAGATGTTTGCATTCAGCCGGACTGGCGCTTAACCTCCCCCTCCGTGTAAAAAGTAAGAAAATCTAAAATTAACAGTCACGAGACACAATTTACCCTCAAGCTTAGAAGGAAAAAACGAGGGCTTTTACAATTATGTGCCATATCTTTCGGGTCACGCAAACATCTCAATCGCGCATCGCTCCACGTGCGAGTCCATAAACAAATCGGTGGGATCGCTGTCTGTGGGAGGGAGCACACGGACAGGGTAGCTCCACCGCAATTTCGAAGTGCGAGCCGGAGTAACGGTCTCAGGGCACCCACTTTCGATTCCCGTACCCACCCCCAGCCCCTCCTCCTCCCCTTCTTCTTCCTCCTCCCAAACCACGCCCACCTCCTCCCCCCCTTTCCCCCAAGAAGCTAGCAACCGGGCATTGATCCTCTCCAAGCGAGCTTTCTCCTCATCGGCCACGGCGGCTGCTTCGTCCAAGGCGTCTTCCTCCTGATTGGTGACAAATTCGAAGCAAACCTTCCATTCCAGGGAGGTAAAGGGCGTGACAAAGCTGGGGGTGGCGTCGATTGGAATCTGGGAAGAAGGAGGGGAGGGAGGAAGAGAGGGAGGGGAAGACAGGGAGGATGAAATTGAGCGAGCGAGGGAGTTGAGTCAATAGATCAAGAAATTTGAATTATGGAAGAGGGGAGCTGAAAGGGAGGAAGGAAAGGCTTGGCCGTGGACATCTGAACC